CCACTGGCATATGCGCAAGGGGGGTCAGGGGCGGGTCGTCCGTAGTCCGGTGCGGGTGTGTTGAAGTCTGCAAGCGGCCCAGACGAAGGCAGAGAGAGACAAGGGGGGGAGGGAAAGAGAAGGGGTGGGGGGCAATGTTCATGGGTGACAGACATGAACGGCCGGCACGGCACAGAGACGCGTGGGATGGGATTTTCTATGACCTGTTCACTGACCAGTCTGTGCCTGTTGCTTGGTACAACACGAGAATTGCTTGATTCTCGCCGCCCTGTTCGCTCTGACTGCGTGGATTGGCTCTGGGTAGCATTCCCATGACAGCCTGACTCGTCACTGGGTCCCCCCTTTCAGACGCCCAGATGCCTGAAATGTGATCAACGGGAGTGCCGATGGTAACTGTGGATGGTAAGGGAACACGAGATGCCAGGGGTGCTGCGCTTGGCAGCTGTGATTTTTGACCCTCCGCTGCTGTTCCCGTTGGTTGACAAAGTCGCGCGAGGTATCGGGGCAATTGGTGCAATCGGCCGCGATTAGGCGTGGAGCTAGCCTCCACTGACATGGTCAACTTGGTTTAGCACGTCTGAGGCCAGAGTACGATCAGCGCTTTTTCGCTGTCTTTTTCGGGCCAACAAGACGTGGTCTGATTTGGCGTCTGGCTGGTGGTGGTCTGACCGGCTCGAGAAAAAGCCATGGTCAGCTGGAGGGCGCAAAAGAGCAGGTCATCAGAGGGGCTGTCCAAAAGGTGCCTTCAGGGGGGGGGAAGAGCTGGGAGAAGAAACGACGAATGAAGAAAAGGAAAAAAAAAAAAGGTCTCATCGCCCAGTGGCGTCTGGATCCCGGATGGCAAATCAACGGACTGGCGAGATGTTCAAGCTTCTTCGTTCGATGAAATTATCTTGTTGCCTCCCTACCTATCTTCGAAGTTGGCTATCAAACTTTTGCTCTCTCCTCTATCCAGGTACTATCGTACGTATCGTCTTCCCTACCAAGCAAGGTACACCCACCCGAGATGCGTCAATTACCAATTCGCAATGCCCAGTGCCGCCATTCAAGCTCGTTTCCAGCGTCGATCGGATGGGGACGAGGCGCCCCCCTACTCAGTGCCTCGGCGCCTCTTCAGAGGCTCAGAATCAGAAGGGAGTGCCAGCGAGGTCACAGCTATAGGTAGGCAGTGCTGGATTGGTGGGCGACTCGCGTCTTATCGGGGCTGGGCTGCAGCGGAACACGAACGTGCCCCCTGCATGCAAAATTCCCGAGCGCGTGGGTCGGCAAGGATCGCCTCGACAAAATGTTACGAAAACAAGCAATTGACACCTGGGCACTGTAGAGCAGAAGCTCGTGGGTACGGCACTTGGCGAGTCTCCTGTCCACTGGCCAGTGCCCCCCTGGCATTCTGCCTTGGCCATCTTGTTGTCGAACATGGCGACACATGCTCCCAGCGCCCCCTCAGCTGCCAGCTTCACATCCCAGCTCCAGCATCTGAACGCAGCGAGCGAGGAAAATACTGCCAAGTGGATATGTTCTCATTCCGTTGTTCTTCGGCCGAGGCCGCCGCCCGCAAGCCTCCCCTGCCCCCCCTTGCCCCCTCCGGCAGCTTGACCAGCTCGACAGGCAAACCTAGCTAGGGCCACAGTTGACCCCCCCTCCATTGATCTTGATCTTGGGCCAATGATTCTAATTTTACGCACGTCATTCATCGTCGTTCATTCGTGTTCCGGCACTTCTGCCTACTTCGAGAGGGCCACAATGGGCTAAGGGGGGGTGACCACAAGTCAAGGCCAGGGGCACCACCAATACTACGACCACCAACGAGGCTCGTTCCAGCTTTTCCTGCATTTCGGGGGCCCGGGATCCCACTATGCTGCCGAGCTGGTACCTCACAGTAAACCGTCTTGGGCATAGTCCGGGCACCAGTTTGACCTCATCGCCCCTCCAGAACGAACGGCTCAGAGCTATGAGCTGCCGAATCGCGATTCACCGAGAGGGTCTTTGCCATCCACACCCCCCCCCCTCCTATAGGCCCCTTTCAGATCAGATCTCTTAGACAGCCTCCCTTACTCTACACCCCCCAAGTCTCGTATCAAGACCGGATTCCCTCATAGCTGAGCTTCTTCGGTTTTCACGCATTCTTGCCCTCCTCCTCCCCTCCCCTCCGCCCATCCAACCATCCTCCTGGCATTTCTCCCCGCCATCTAGGTGCACTCGTTTGCCTTTGTGTCTGCGTACGCCTGCTGCTAAACCCTCCATTCTTTCGGGTCCCGCCCAGCCTGCCGCCTCACATTGTACATCTACATCCTCCGCTCACACATCTCTCGCTCTCCGTTATCCTCCTGCTACCTCTCACCATCAGGTCTCATCAGTGTCGGGTCCTACCGCTCGCTGCCCGATCATCACTGGTCACCAAGTCATCGCTCGCTACTCGCTCTAATACCGGGAGAGTTGGGAAGACGTCGGAATAGCTATCCCAGCTTCTACCTTCTCTCACCCTTCCACACATTCGCTCATCCATCTCACCACGCCCACTCTCACCTCCTCGCCCAAAATGAAGAAGAACCACGGGTACGAGGAGGAGGTCGAGATTGACGTCCTCCAGACCCCTCAGCACCTTCACCACTACCACAACAACAGCGTCCCCCAACCTTACGGCGGCTACGGTCAGCCTGCGCCCGAGTACTCCAGCAGGCCTGGCACCGCCAACGGACGTCAACCTCAAGCAAACCCAGATGAATACTACTCGGTATGGGAACCCGCAGGCACCGGCCGCTACAGCGCCCAGTCCTTTGGAGAGTCACCCGTTCACTCTCGCCCTGAGACGCCGTCGCTGAACAGCGCCTACGGAACGCCATATGACCTTCGCCCTCCCCCTAAAAATGTCTACTCCAGTGACTCGGGGCCGACGACGCCCATGGTAAATATATTCTTCTCCTGCATTGTCCACTAATTCTCGAGCTTCCTTGCTGACCCGAGCGTTCTCTCCTTCCCACAGCAGCAGAGTCAACTCAGTTTGGCTGCCCTGCTACCCAATGGCCCTGCTCCTGTCATTGACGCAGACTGGGTCAACAAGTCTAACTCGATCGCTCGCCTGCACGACCGTGACGATGCCGACATTTGGAAGGGCTGGAAGCGTTACGTCTTCAAGTTTGTGCCCGTCCTGACCATCCTCAACACGGCCATGTACCTGCTCTACCTCGGCTACCGCATCTACTGTGTCGTCGCCGCCCAGAAGCTGCGCAACACGACCTATGCCCAAGCCTGGGTGTTTATCGGCGTCGAAATCGCCGTCGCCCTGCCCGCTCTGATGCACAACATCTGGACCATGATGGCCATGAAGAAGCGTCTCCGGCCCAAGCTGAGGCTGACGAGCAATGACGACGTGCCCTCGGTTGATGTCTTTGTCACCTGCTGCGGCGAGGAGGATGATCTCGTTGCCGACACGGTCCGCGCTGCGTGCAACCTCGACTACCCTCGTGATCGCTTTAGGGTCGTTGTTCTCGATGACGGCAAGTCTGAGGGTCTTGAGAACGCTGTGCTCGGCATGTCGCAGACCTACCCCAACCTCGTCTACATTGCGCGTCCCAAGATTCCCGGCAAGCCTCACCACTTCAAGGCCGGCAACCTGAACTATGGCCTCGATGCGGTCCACCAGCTTCCCGGCGGTGCCGCAAGTTCATGGCCGCCTTGGACGCTGACATGGTATGTTTTACAATACTTTTTTTGATGATTTGACCTTGCGTGTGCTTACAATCGATAGATTCCTGAGCGCGACTGGCTTCGTGCTGTTCTGCCTCACCTTCTTGTCGACGACAAGATGGCTCTCGCCTGTCCTCCTCAGCTCTTCTATAATACTCCGGACTCGGACCCCCTCGCTCAGTCACTCGACTTCTTCGTCCACGTTATCGAGCCTATCAAGGATGCTCTCGGTGTTGCGTGGTGCACTGGGTCCGGCTACGTTGTTCGTCGTGAAGCTCTCGACCAGATTGGCAACTTCCCTCTTGGGTCCCTCGCGGAGGATGTCGCAACTTCGACACTGATGCTTGGAAAGGGCTGGAAGACGGCGTACATTCACGAGCCTCTCCAGTTCGGCACGGTCCCCGAAGATTTCGGCGGTCACTTGAAGCAGCGTACCCGCTGGGCCATTGGCACGGTCGACACGTCTTTCAAGCTCAACTTCTGCCTGTGGGGTGA